GGAACCTGCTCCTGCACGGCGCGCGTAGCAAGCCCTACTCGTGCCCCGAGTGCGGCAAGAGCTTCGGCGTGCGCAAGAGCCTCATCATCCACCACCGCAGCCACACCAAGGAGCGGCCCTACGAGTGCGCCGAGTGCGAGAAGAGCTTCAACTGCCACTCGGGTCTCATCCGCCACCAGATGACACACCGCGGGGAGCGGCCCTACAAGTGCTCCGAGTGCGAGAAGACCTACAGCCGCAAGGAGCACCTGCAGAACCACCAGCGGCTGCACACGGGCGAGCGGCCCTTCCAGTGCGCGCTGTGCGGCAAGAGCTTCATCCGCAAGCAGAACCTGCTCAAGCACCAGCGCATCCATACGGGCGAGCGGCCCTACACGTGCGGCGAGTGCGGCAAGAGCTTCCGCTACAAGGAGTCGCTCAAGGACCACCTGCGCGTGCACAGTGGCGGCCCGGGCCTCGGCGCCCCGCGGCCCCTCCAGGCGCCGTCTGAGCGAGACTAGGGCTGGGCTGGGGGGAGGGGGAGGGCCGGACGGGAGCCAGGGTGGGGGCAGGGCCGGGGGGCGTCCTACGGACCCGCCAGCCTGCCACCCTCCACCCGCCACCTGCTGGAAATCGGGAACAGGAATTGCACTCCAGACAGGGTCTTCGAGGGTCGGGCAGGGGCACCCCAGACCTGAACAGCGCCCTCATCTCGTAGGGTGGACCAGGCGGCCGGGGAAGGTGCCTGGGGGACGGCAAGGAGGCGAGAGTCCCGGCACCCCCCGCCCCCCAGGTCACCAAGGTGCCCTCTAGCCACTAGGGCTACAGATTGTGATCAGGGGAAGCCACCAGGGAGTGTCCAAACGCTTTTGAGATGATGGGGGGAGGGGGGGGGCCGGACGGGAGCCAGGGTGGGGGCAGGGCCGGGGGGCGTCCTACGGACCCGCCAGCCTGCCACCCTCCACCCGCCACCTGCTGGAAATCGGGAACAGGAATTGCACTCCAGACAGGGTCTTCGAGGGTCGGGCAGGGGCACCCCAGACCTGAACAGCGCCCTCATCTCGTAGGGTGGACCAGGCGGCCGGGGAAGGTGCCTGGGGGACGGCAAGGAGGCGAGAGTCCCGGCACCCCCCGCCCCCCAGGTCACCAAGGTGCCCTCTAGCCACTAGGGCTACAGATTGTGATCAGGGGAAGCCACCAGGGAGTGTCCAAACGCTTTTGAGATGATGAGATAAGATCCCAAGGCCAGGAGACGCCCTGAAAAAGGAAGCGGAGGGATGGGCTAAGGGTGACATCTTTCTGATGACAACACTGCCTCGCGTTTGAATAGCGCTTTATACCTTTTTAAAAGTGTTTTCTATTCGTTATCTATGGTCACCCTTATCCTATCCCTCTGAGATAGGTGGGGTGGGACTTTCCTGACTCGGTAACTGAGGAAAGTGAGCCGCGGGCCAGACGGTTATCCCAGATCACACAGGACGAGCGCGGTGTCCCCAGCGCAGTGTCCCCACCACACACGCTGCCTACCTCCGTTCTCTGAGAGACGACGCCGGCCCGGCCTTCAGGTCTCTCTCCTCTCCCTTTCCTCCCCTTGATCCACCAAAAAAGAAAAAACAAAAACGTCAAGCAACAGGGCCCACCTCATGGGATTACTGGGAATGAGGAACAGATTGGCTACAAAATGCCCCGGGTTGTGCTTCCGGAGAGCTGGCGGTGGCCCCCTCGCCCCCAGCCTGTTCCTTCCACCTCCAGTCCCTCATCTGGTGCAGCAGCATCTTTTCACTGCACAATAGTGGCCTGGCCCTCCAGAGGCAGCTGGTGCCCTGAGTCAGACCTCACCCTGATGATTTATTCCAGTTTTCCCAGGGCACAGGGGTGAGGGAGAGGGTTTTGCTGCGAGAGCAGCCATCCAGAGAGCAAGTCTCTTTCCAGGAGGGCCGGGCACATGGGTGCTAGAGGCTGAGCTTCAGTCTCTCTCCTGCCCTGGGCCTCCCAGTTGGTGCTGTTAACTGACCATGCTCATGGACATGGACACAGACCCTGCTATGCTCCAGACCCTGCAGGCGCCTTGGGAAGCGCCCAAAAGACCCCCTTTCGTGTTGGTGCATCTGCTCCACGGCTCCACCTGCTACATCCTGCGGGGCCACATTCTCCATTTCAGCGTCTTGCATGGCCAGGCTCTGGGGTGCAGTGGCATGCCCCAGGACCCTTGTTTGTGTCAAAAATGACTTCCTGCTCCTCCCATGGATCCTGCTTCTTTCCCAGCCAGGGAGCCCACTGGGCGGCCAGCACTGGGCACCACTTCTGTGAGCACCTTGCTTCTGCCCTTCCCTTCATCTGCGCTGCTCTGCTTTCCTCAGACCCCTTTTTGCCGTGCAAAGGGAATTCTTGAAATTAAATAAAAGGTATCCAGATTGCAGACTGCATGTTCACAGAGCTGGAGGGGTCTCCAGCTTGGCTTCCTACAGTAAAGACCTCAATGAACTGGAATCCAATTAGATGGGTTTTTTTCCTTCATTCTGCTTTTGGAAGGAGGCAAATCTTAAGAAAATGAGATAAGAAATTAAATACAGATAAGGTTAAATGGAATTTTCTTAGAGCAGAAGGAGATTCTAGTTCAGTGATTGGTTGGGAGGGGATAGTATGCCACTTTTCAAAAGCATTGCAGAAAATCGATATTTTTATAATCTCAATCATGGAAAATGAGATCAAATTCTCTTTGACTGTTGGGAGTATGAGGAAAGGGGAAAGGTCACTACCGAGACATGGGTTTAACATTTGAGCACATAGCTCGAGTCTATTGCCTTTATTTTACACCCAAGGAGCTGATACCCAAAGAAGTGACTGAGTTAATGAGAGCCAAGTCTAAGTCTCTGGTTTCCTGGATCCTCGCCTGGTGGATCCCACTGTATCGAGTACCCCTCAGGTATGCTGTGAGTCACCCAACCCTGAGCACAGGCCCCAGGAGGTTCCCACAGTGAGCTCTACCCCCAGATCTGATCAAAGATGGGGACACTCAGGATATTGGCCTCTGCCGGCTTCCAGGCAGCAAGGATCCTCAGTGTAGACGCTGGAGTCTACTCCCTGGAGCAGAGCAAGGGTCCTGCTTTGGGAGTGGATTTTTATTTTCCTTCTGAGAAAATGTGTTTTTAAATTAACTGTTTTAATTTTTTTAAATTAATGCATGAAATAAAAATTCAAGTAGTTAAAAAAAATAGACACAATGAAGAGTAAAGCTCCTTTCCAGCAGACTCCCTGTTCAGAAGCATCCAGTGCTAAGAGCTCCTTCTATGTCCTTCAGAACTGTATTCGGTTTCCCAGACATCTGATTTACTTCCACATCTAGGGGCATACGTTTTTGGGCTTTCTGTCCTGTCAGCCTACAGAGTTTTTTTTTTTTTTTTTTGTCTTTTTGTCTTTTTCCGTGTCTGGCAACGGATCGCAACCCTCAGTGTTGCCCCCGTACCAGACCGGGGACCGGCAACGGGATCGCAACCCTCGGCGTTGCTCCCGCGCCTCGCTCAGCCAGTGAGCGGGAACCGGTCTGTATGTGGGATCCGAACCCTCGGG